TAGTAGTGTTCCTTCATTGCTAGAAATTAGGCAAGGATAGAAGTGGCGGAATGAAGACAATATATGAAAGTCACAATTTATAACAGCAAAAGACAGCCTAAATACCCATCAACAGAGACGTGGTAAGTTAAATTATGGTAAAGACATAAAATAAAACATTCTACAGCTATAAAAGAGGATGGGATGGAATGCTATTGAGGAATAAAAAGGGAACAAACTATTGATACACATACCAACTTGGATAAATGTCAAATGACACCAAGTGAAAAAAGCCAAAACACCAGTCCCCAAAGGTTACATACTATATGACTTCATTTATATAACATTCTTTAAATGATAAAATTACAGAGATGGAGAACAGATTAGTGGTTGCCTAGGGTTAGAGATGGGGCGGTGGGAGGGGGAGGAAGATGGGGGTGGATACGCAAACCTACACACGTGATAAAACTGTACAGAAACAGACCCACACAGTATATATTCCATGCCATCAAAAGAACAGAAATACAGATAAATTTCTAAAAATTATCAGTAAAGCTTCTTACAATAAGAAGGTACCTTTGGAAAAGTAAAGAGGAGGAAAGAGAAGAGGGAGAGGGGAGTAGGGGGGGCGATGAGAATGGGAATGTTCTATATGACCAGAATGACCTCTAAGACATACTACAAAGCAAAAAACAAAAAACACCATAGTAGTGTGTGTAGCACTCTACCATTTGGGTAAACTGAAACAAAAATGTTAATGCTTATCCATAGAATTTTTCCGAAAGCACACAAAAGAAACAGTCAACACTGTTTGCCTCTACAGATGGGATAGTAGGAGGCTGAGGACTTGGATGGAAGGGAGATGTTACTATACATACTCTTGAACCTTCTGAATTTCATACCATATGAATGTATTACTTATTCATAAAAATTACTATTTTCTTTTTGAATATATGACAAGGCAAATCAATGCTTCAGTGCCTTTGTTCATACATGTGGTCTGGCAATAGCTTTCCATTACTACTCATCCCCTCCTGGGTACTTATTAATGAGACTTTGTACCTAAGTGATTCTCTTAAGCCTCCATACTAGTTCTGAAGATCAGTTTCACTGGTTACCTGAAAATGCTTCTAAATTATTACTCTTCCAACCTACACTCACTGCACTATTTCATATGGCCTAGCTCAGTTACAGTAGCTGACCATAAAAGGTGACAATTATCTTCAAGCCAAGTGAAAATTTTTAATTTTAAAAGCTTATATGAGAACAAGTCAAAAAATAATGATGATGACAGCTACCAATTTTTGAGCTTGATACTGTGCCAAGCAGCTTTACAAGCATTATCTCAATTTACTCCTCACAGAAACCTTTAACAGGTGAGTTTTGTTATTTTTATTTTATAGATGAGGAAACTGGAGCTCAGATAGGGTAAATAATTTGATTAACGTCACATAGGTTCTAAGAAAGGAGCCTGAACCTGTATTAGGGTCTGTCAATACTAGAAATGAGGAATCATTCTTCTATAGCCTAGTAAAATGCATCTCAGTTTTGGTAACTCTGAACTCTAAAATCCATCTGAAACAGCTGTATGGTCTCTCTGTAGCTGACAACCTGCTGCTTTTACAGTGCTAGCAGTAAGCTGGCTCTAGACGTCTATTATTACCAAAATACCTGCACCTTGTGTAGTTAGGAAGATAAAACACTAAACAAAAAGCTGAGGTGCCTCCAAAGTAATAAATTTTTAGACAATCCAATTCAGAATTTAATACTTGGTCTCCAGATAAGATGGCACTTACTCTGATCTGTACAATTAACAATCAAATTCTTTCACAAGACATGAATCCAACCAGAAAATTTAAGATTTTATCTTTATCCAAAAAAACTTCTGAATGAACTATTGATATCTTAATCAAATTTGAACTTCTGGAAAATTATGTGAATCAAATAAGTGTCAACAAGCAGACTACCGTGTATTATTAATGGCTTTTGATCTCCGTATCAGTCACAACATATTTTGAATATGCCAGCTTAACCCTAAATAAATGATTCCCAAATAGAAAAATTTCTGCATCTCATCTACCACATTACTTGCATGGGAGTTTATAAGTAGAGTTGAATTGCTGAAGTGAGAGGCTTTACATTTAGTTTAAAAGATCTGAAACATTAAAGATAACTGGAACTTTCCCCAACGTCGGACTATTTTGTATTAAGACACAGATACCACAAAAGATTTTAAACTTAATATGTTTAAAATAAAAATTAAAAAACATGTACCAAGCAGCTTTCTGAGATAAGGAAAACAATGTTAATAAATAACAGTAAAATGCTACCAAATAAATGCAACCCAAGTTTGGTCCTCTGTATTCCAAGGACATCTCTTAATAAACTTAAAGTATTTGTGTTATCAAGGCAATTTCTAACCACACCAAATTTCTCCAAGATATTCCTGAGCTTTTTCTCCTATTCTGCTTCTAGCAATAATGTAAATTTAAGAATTTCTTAACAGCAAAGTCAAATATCAACTGACATTACTTTCTTTTTGGTGCCTGATCTTTTTTTCATTAATCTCCTTTCATCGAGGTTATGTGTTATACCAATTTCCTAAAGTAGGCAACATTCTATGTTCATCGCCTAAGGTCATGTTAATCTGTATCTTCTAAAAATCAGCAGAGGTTATTTCTGACCCTGTTCATTTTTCCCTCCCCGTTCTTGGCATAAGATCGAAGACACAAAGCCATGGCTGCAAAGCAAAAGCATGACAGATTTAAAGGGATTTATGGGTGATTAACACTTCTCATTTCATTGGTATTCTGAATACTGTCAGTCAGAACATAAAAAGGTTAAGAAAACTGAAGTAAAACACTCTCTATAAGAACATATATACCTCCTGAACTAAAGAACACATTCTGGAAATTTTGTTTTTTGATGAGAACGGACATTTGGTAGATTCAGTAATTAGTAAGTTGGTCTTTGTATAAATGATAATTCTATTGACTATCTTGTGATGTACCTTAATTCAACATAGGAGAGGCGGCTGAGAAAGATCACTACATAGAAATGTCTTGTCGGCCAATAAGCAATCAAAGTAGCTTGCTAAACACTACAATCACCAGAAGTTACTTAATGTATCAAATTACACATTCAGCATTGACTTGTTAATAACATAAAGTCGCTTACATGTAAACATTCAGAATTGCAGGAAAGATAAAAGAAGTACAGAGTCATCAGAATTTCCCGTTAGTCTTCAGCACTGTAATTTCAAGCTCTTGAACCCAAAAATGATACTATTTGAATGGTAATAAATATTATAATAAATAATAAATATTATCTCTATTCACACAGTATTTAATGTAGGTCATAAAACTAAAAGGTTTTTATTTGTAGCCCAAAAGTAAACGTTTCAAAATATTCAAGCCTTTTGTAAACAAATTTACAGCTTACTGAGTTAAATTACATAGTGGGAATGATGTTTGAGAAAGAAGTCTCTTCTCTGTCTTCTCTCATGCTGGAAATAACTTTTTTTTCTTTGCAGAGTGAAAAAGGGAAAAGAGCTCCTTTTCTGTTTTTAAACAGGAACGATATTTGGGTTTTAGCTCTGTATATTTCTAGGCTCCACCTGGTACCATTCACAAGAGAGGAAATTCTATGCAGAAGGCCATGCTTCCCAATCATGAGCAATCTGGCAAGAACCTGAAAACTTGACAGGCTTAAAGTATGCATCGCCATACTCCTGCCCTGCAATCTTGACTTAAAAAATCAACAATTCAAGGTTAGCAGTAAGGCAACAAGCTCCCAAGCTTCATGGAGTACATCAGTTTTGTCTACCAGGAGTCAAAGCCAGATCAGGGAAAAATCAAAACATAACAGAATGTGAAGGGAGAAAGTAAGAAGAGGAAGGCAAGAAAAGAGGGAGGAGCAGAGAAAGGATCCAAAAAATAAATAAAACAATAAAACATCATGATACAGAACAGATGTGCTTCAGGGAACTGAGGAATATTTGAAATTGTCTCTACTAGTCTTCAAGACACAAAGATAGAGAAAGAAATCAGCTATAAAACAAAGGTAAGTGTTGTGAACATCACTGAGCCTTGTGTTTACAACATGAATTATGGAATCATCGAGCTACATAATATTGAATGGAAAAGAGGTTTTGGGATGTTCAATTAGCGTGTAATTAGAACACACCATATTAAAAAAGCAATAAAAATAAAATTAAGAAAACAAGAGAAAGGGGCTCATGCTGTACAGCCCATGAATCTCATTGGCTTTATCATGAAAGTTTATTTTTTTTAATCCTAGTACAATCAGCTACCAGTTACATACAGTAAAAAAACAAAAACAGCTACAAAGCAATGATGATAGAGATAGTCTGCGACACTGTACAGTGGAGGAAACGTTGTCTGTTGGAGTCCTCCAGCAGATCTCCACCTGGCTTCGGCAGTTAAGCTATCAATCCCTCCCTCCCCAAAGTAGCTAAAAAGAAAAATTAATGTCTTGCTTGGGTAGAGCAAGATCCTAATACCTCTTGGGGACACTGGAGAACTTTAAAAAACTAAAGCAGTAGAAACAAAACAAAAACTGAAATGTGGAAGCAAGGTGACACACAACGAAGCTCCATGAGGCGTTGGCTTCAGACCACCTCAAAGCGAACCACCTGGAAAGAAAAGAAAAGGCTGTCACAGCAGGAAGGAACAGACAGAAAATTCAGCAGACCTTAGTCTCTCATCACTCCACTCCTTACCAAATCGATAGAATCCAAGCTTTTCTTAAGTCTTATATTTTTATAAGTAGGCCAGGTTGCAGAAAATTGCTTCCTTTTCTAATACCCTGTATTGCAAATGCTGGCAACTAGCACATACTTACTCTTTTAGAACCAGAAAACAATAAAAGAAGAGAAGCATTTTTAGCAAAGCATGCTGTCTTCTTTATCTCAAACTCTTCAAAACAACAAACAGTAGGCTATTTATATGACTGTGTACCCTTACCTTAGAGGAGTAATGACTCCATTCAAAAACTAAGTCTCATATATATTTGGTTCGATTGAGGGCTTTTTCAGCCAGGTGACCACTTTCATCTGTGATCTTCTCCCAATCAGTCTGTCCGACCACAAAACCTATGGCCCTTTTCCTATCTGCATCCTTCTTTTCTTCCAGGTCTGCCCATCTCACCTAAAAAGAACACAGCATTAGGCTGGGCTTTAGAAAAAATAAGTACGCAAAGAGCCTCTTAGCTTTCTGAATAGTCTAATGGGTAGGATAACTAATTTAAAGCCAGGAGGTTAAAAAATTAGAAGTGAACTGTGGAGAATTGAAGAAAGCCGTATACCTTAAGTTATAGAAAGAAAACTCTCTAGTCAATCACCAAGTCCTAACCACTCCAGCTCCTGAACAGTTCAGCCCTCAGTTCAGTCCTATCCCCTTCCCCCTCCTGTCACTCCTTTTCAGTTCACTGGCCTCATTTTTTACCTAAGGAAAAACATTAACCTCTACCTAGTCTTCCTATCTTCATTCTCACTCCCTCCGATCCACTCTGCCAGAGGAATCGTCCTAAAATACACACAGCTTTAAATCTGTGCCCTACCTACAGAATAAAATCCAAGCACACAGGTCCCTCTGGATCTGGCCCTGTCTATTCTCCTGCAGCATCTCTGGGCAGTACCTATGGCACTTTATACAGCGACACAAAATTACTTCCAGCTCTCAGAGCACACTGGGCCATTTCTCATCTCCGTAAGGCTGCACAAACTAGACTCTCTTCCTGAAACGTCTTTGTTCTAACCTGGTCCACCTGGCATGAGTCTAATCATCAACCCTTGCTTTATCCCTCTTGTCCTTTGCCAATCAAATAATTAATCATTGCTTCCCTGGAGTTACTTCTGGATTTTGACAGGTCTAGTTTTGAACTTCCATACTATATTGCAATTATCCACTTACAGATCTCTCTTCCCTAAAAGACTATACACCCTAGATCAAAGACTGAGTTGTTTTTTTTTTTTTTAAAAATTTATTTATTTTTGGCTGCGTTGGGTCTTCGTTGCTACGCGTGGGCTTTCTCTAGTTGCGGTGAACGGGGGCTACTCTTCGTTGCAGTGCGTGGGCTTCTCATTACAGTGGCTTCTCTTGTTGCGGAGCACAGACTCTAGGCACCCGGGCTTCAGTCGTCTCAGCGCCTGGGCTCAGTAGTTGTGGCTCACAGGCTTAGTTGCTCCAGCATGTGGGATCTTCCCAGACCAGGGATCGAAACCATGTCCCCTGCATTGGCAGGCGGATTCTTAACCACTGAGCCACCAGGGAAGTCCCGAAAGACTAAGTTTTATTTATCTCCACATAATAAATTTTTTTGAAATTTATCCTTAGTAAACAGGGAGCTAGTATGATTACTTTCATTTATGAGATGAAGAGACCAAGAGACAGACTCAGTTGATACCACTTATGGCAAAATTATAACTACAAATATACAGATCAGGGATATTTTCTACTGGTATGCAGATACTTTTAAAATATGGATTCTTACATGTTATAGTAGTAATTTAAAAAATATAAGCAGATATATCCTCTAAAACATGAAATACTGAAAAAAGAGAGACTATGAAACTGTGCTTTGCAATACCTAGTACCAAAGTCTGCAGAGATTATATTTTAAATATGGCTTGTGATTTATTGTGATTGTGATCTGTGACAAGGAAAGGGAACCAGAGCATGCTCAACCATGCTGCACCTGGAAGTGTGTAATTGCTCTTAGAGGTACACTGACCCTCCCTATTATCATTTATAGGAACGGTAATCAAATGACTAGGCTTCTTCTCCCCCACCACCACCACTGTTTTTAGCAACCAGTTAGCTAAAGATAAGATACACAGTAAGAGCTGTGGGGGAAAACTGGTAACACCTGACTCTTTTTAAAGTAGATTTTTTGTGGGTAGAAAACCTATGACTCAATTTCTTTCATGGGCCTCAGTAAAAAGCTATTTTAATAAACAATGTGGGCTTCTGTGTACCAAGATCTCTGGGCCTTCTGCCCATTAATGCTGATGTATTTATTTTGACAGATTCATGCACCCCTCTCTCAGCTCTCCCTGGGATCAAGGGTACACATTGTAGCAAAAGATGACTATGGTTAAGGGGAATGAAGAATGGATGGATGGATGGACAGATGGATTGTGGCCACTGAACAAAGAAACGGTAACCAGTCCACAGTACTTCCTTAGCACAGAGTTAAACACACTAATCAATCTTGCCCTGAGTAAACTAATAGCTAATTTTTAAATCTGTAGTTTAAATTCTAAGTCTTTAAAACTGATGCTATATCAACATTATTTATTTACATGTCAGGCTCCTCCAGTGGAGGTCCACTCCTTAAGTGGCCTCCAATTGCACAGACCTGACACACAGACATACAACGCTGTAGAAGGAATGAATAATTACCAAAAACACTAAAAATATATGGAGCAAAATAATGACTTTCAGCTAGAAATAGCTTCTTAAATGTCAGTGTCCCTCCTAATCTTCCTAGAGGTACTTTTACTGAGATTTACAATCTCAATTTTTTGCCATTTATCTTAACTGTAAAAAGAAAAAAAAGTTATAATAAAGAAAACTCTTGACCAATACTCAAAAGTTTCAGATACATATATTTTATCTGTTGTCACCAAAAATATTTCTGAAATGTATGAGTTCCGCAAACAAAACAAGAGAAATGTTCACTTTTCCACAGTTATCAAAGTAACACAAATTAAAGTCCATTTTATACCCAATAAAGTAAGTGGAAATTTAAAAAAATAAATTATATTTTAAAACCTAGCCATTTTGGTAAAATTCTATTATGATCAACTCCACAGAACTACCTTTGTGTTACAGTGTAAATTAATCCCAGAAACCTGCCCAATATTTATAAAAAGCTGAATTATAGAAATCAAGAGACCCCAGGAGGGCTTCCCTGGTGGCGCAGTGGTCGAGAGTCCGCCTGCCGA